CAGCTCATGATTAAGCAGTCCATGGCACCCACAGGTGATTTATGGGCACTAATCTGCTACTGTAATCCAAATAATGGAGATTTGGTTCACATTTTGAACTGAATAAATGACTTGGTCCTAGTTTGCTTCTGTTTTTTAACTGGTGTTGGAAATGGCTATCTTATCTAGAGTCAAAATTAACTTTTTTGTGTAACATAGACATGGCTCAGCCTGTGCTGAATTGATATTCCATCTTCCTGTTTTGAAGCGTAATTTCTTTTCCTGTGCTCTGAATGGATGTTCATTCCTTTCCCTTTTCAAAAGAAACGGTCCATTATGAATAGCTCTGTGCTGCATAACGTACTTGTTATCTTTTTCCTGTTCAAAGTGAGACATGCAGGACAGTGTAAGTATTCTTAATGATTATCGATACTGAGTGGTAAATAATCATATGTTTTGGTTTGAGGTGGGTTATTTGGATTTTTTAACTTTGTAGTTTTGACGAACATCTGGCATACAGTCATACTGAATGCCCTTCAGGTACAAATAATGCATTTATCAGGATATCTGTTAAAAATGGTTTTGGTTTTTCTTTCGCCTTTGTCTTGTACCTTGGAAAGCGTTCTTGCCTGCAAGTAGCTGCTGTCTGTCTTGTTTTGCTAGTATTCTCAGCATGACTCATGTCCCTGGCTCTTATTTTCTGCTATTCTTATATCTAGGAATGGCAGGCAGTGCTGCATCAGAATGTGCTGAGTACCAGCTCTTGAAAATTTCAGCTTTGAGGCTTTCAGGGATGGGAGGTTAAGCATGACCCATAGTTTATGCCATGTGGAGATGATCTTACAAAACTGACAGCCCTGTGCATTTTGTAAAATCCCTGGCATTAGTTCTGCATCCCAGTTCACCCACCAGAACCACATGTGGAGTCCTGCAGTATAATACGCTTTATACTCTCACCGGAATATTTGCACTCTCTCTGACATCTATCTGTGTGTAAACAGCTGTCAGTTCTATACATATGAAAAAAGGAAACTATTCTGCTATTCAGCAGAAGCTCTTAGAACTGATTAATATTGCAGAACTTATTTGCCTTAAGAACACAGAATTCAAAGGAGTAACATACTTGCGTCTATTCAAGTTAATCTCGAGAGGAAAAATTCATGAAGAAAAGTCTATTTGAATAACTGCAAGGTTGTCTTGTCTTTAAGAGAAAGTAAGTCAGTTTCTTAAATTACCGCTGCTTAAATATCAGTGTTACTTCTTGAGGGAAGCTTGTTGTCACAAGTTGCAAAAAACCCCCAAAACAACCAAACAAAACCCAAAACAAAAACCACACAAAAAAAACTCAACACAGAAAACAAACAAACCCCTTTGCTTTTGTGATCAAGCCCTTCTGAAAAGTCTTTGTTCACCGGCATTCATTTCTTCTTTGACGCTTTTCCTGGCTTCAGTTCTGTCACACAGTAATCTAAAGCAAGTCTACAGGGTTCTTACTGATTGATAAGTATTGGCGCAGTTTCTTTGCCATTGTTTTGGAAATTCATCTTTGTTTTGTGTTGCACAGGAATATGTGAAGGTTTCTGTGAGAGGTAGTTGTAAAGGAGGGGGATGTATTTGCTGTGTTGATGTCCACGTGAGTTGCAGAGAGAGGCTCCAACGTCTCTGCATAATGTGTTAGAACTGATTAGAACATATGTCTTTGGAAGGCAGTGTTGGATTTTTGGAGGTGTGCATGGTGGTTGAGCTATGTGCAGTCAGAGTGAGACGGGGTTCTGGACCAGACAGTCGGGGTGCCGGGGAGCAGGGTCTACTGTCTAATGAAATATTGCTGGGAAGGCATGGAATCACAAGCGAAATTACCTTGATCTAAAAATAGAAGATATTACAAGTGATAGTGGCTAAAACTGACCTTCCATAGGTATTTGGGGTTTTAAATAATTACCATTTTCAGTTACAGTTCAGGTTCTGTTACAAGAGAGCTATTCAATGAAGACGTCCTCATTTCTCAGAACAGGCATTTATTGGTGGCATTACTTGATTTCTTACATAAAATGCAGCTTTCTTGTATATTGCATTGGTGGTGCCTCGCAAGCTTTAAAGTGCCTTGTCACAAAACACTTTGGCATGCCCTAGCTTTTGATTTAGTAAGGGATTAAGGAAAATCAGCGAAGAAAAGCCCATTTTTTGACTGTTAAATAAAAAGGATGCCGCGTCTGAGCCCTGAGTATTTAGAGCCCTGAGTATTTAGTAGGAATTGTCTTTATCTCTTTGCCCCATTGAACTCTTTCCTACGCATCAGCTGTTGCTCTCTGCTGAAGAAAGCACACTAATGCTGTGTGGACCTTTTGATTGTGCTGGTGCAGCTGTTTGTACACTTTGTTCTTATTCCATATCAAAGCACTGAACTTGGTCTCTGTCATCTGTGCTTCCTTGCTGTATGCATGCGTATGCAGCAGAGGTGCTGAATTTTGAAAAGCCAAGGCTGCAGACGCTCTTGTTGCACGGTCAGCAAGGGCCCGTCCCAACCGCTACCTCACCGAGAGAAGCGTGAACGCCGGCATGACTGTGCTCCCCCTGTGCCCAACGAGGGCCATGTTTAGTTTGCCATGGAGCACAAGACCTGAAGGAAAAGGAATAGGCAGAGGCTTTATGAACTGGGGCAGCGAGTATGGTATGCTCTAACCATGAACTTCATAAATATGGGAGTCCTGCAGCACAGCCTGCCTTAGTCTGTGCCCCCTGGTTTCTGTATCCAGCTAAGGGAATGGCATAAATCTGGAATCCGGTTGCCTGGGTTGCATCTCCCTATGGGTGCACTGAGCCTGACACTGCTGGTGCAGAGACCTGAAAAGCTTCTGTGCAGCTTGTAGCTCCCAGGCAGGAAATTCAGGATATATTTGTATCCTTTAAGTAGGGATAGAATACCATTTGAGACTATAACTGAGATTTGGGACTGTTAATAAAGAACATCTTATGTTAACGGGACTTCTGGCAGCTGTAATGCAGTACACTGTTGTCAGAATTATAGTAGTTAAGCTTCCCTGCAAGGTTAAGAAGAATTATGCATCAGCTGAAACTGAGACTAAATATACGCTGTACTTTCATGCTGGTTACTTGATAGAGCGCGTTATTTCCTTGAATTATCCCATATACCAGGATATGCCACCCAGAAACTTGTACCCTCTCTTCCAAATCTTAGATATGCACTCAGATAATTTGTGGAACAGTTGTAATTAAAAAAAAGTAGTGAGTATCTAGAATATAGTCAGTGGTTCTTTTCCATTACAGGCATTTGTGAAACACTGTATATTTTGTGATTAAAAAAAGCATATCTGTTACTAAGTTGTCCTTCCTTTTTCATTGCAAACCCAGAGTCAAATTCTGGTTAAGAATTTACTACTCAGAAATGTGTAGGAGACAAGAAAGTTAACCTATTAACCGTTTTGTCAGCAGTTAACTTTTTTCAAATAAGGATCTATATGACACCGTCTTCCTATTTGTGGACAGAGATGTCCTCTTGTAACTGTAGCAGTATGAACTTAAAGCTGGTTTCTCAGTTTAACTTTTTGAGCTTGATGAGATTGTCGGGAAATTGGGCAAGTTAGTGCTTCTTTTACTTGGGAAAGTTAAAAATTGAAATTATCGAAAACTTATTTTGGTATTTCTGTGTGTCACCATGGTGGCTACATGTGGCTGCTGAAGGACTTTGTATAGCCATCACCTGAAAACGTATTGTTTCAAAGAACCTTCTTGGAAAATAGATAAAACTGTTAAGGCAGTGGCAATTATTTACTTGTTGCTGAATGGTACCTGAGCACTGCTTTAAAAATATAATTAAAAAAAATCAAACTAAGTTAAGTTTCTTACGACTGCATCAAAGCTCACTGTATTTTTTAAGAGGATTTTCTTGTCTGGAAACTAAAATGATTCAGTGCTCGACAAGTCTTCGGGGCTCTGAAAACTCATAGCTGAGATTTTCATTCTGCTTATATTCTTTGAAGTTTTGCTAGTCAGGGCTTTTTCTTCTTGTAAAGAATAGAAGAATGCAGCACAGTAGAGTTTTCACAGTAATACAGAAACTCTTAACTTACAAAATCTACTTCCCAGCTTTTGACATGCCAAAACCTCGTTACACATCATGGAATGGTGTTCAATCCATAGCTGGTACTGCTGGGTTTGCTACGCAGAGCCACTCTGTGGGCTGTACTCAAGCCAGTATCTGGTTTAAATAGTTGATACATTATATTTTGACAGAAAGTTATTTTTAATGCCCAACTTCTATTTTTTTTAAAATATTTTTTCCACATTTAAAATGCTACATAAGTGTGTGTGAGGTGGTATGTAGTTACATAGTTTACAAAATATATGGCATGTTGGAAAATTGTGAAAATAGTATGGTATATTAGTCTGGAATATTATTATGCAATTAGATTGGTAAACTCAGATGCTAGAAATATAATTCTGTCGTTGCTTCCTTTAAGAATTATATTGCATTTCCCAAAAATTGAAGGACAGTAAATTTTGATGCATTGTGATTTGCCTTGACATATTTTTAAGCAGGAAGAAAAAAAACGCTTCTTAATTTATTAATATGCATTTCATTTGAATGTTTTTCTATTCTTCCAAGCATCAAAGTCTGTATCAATTCTACATTTTGGTTCTAAACCAGTCATATTTTCTACTGACATGGTGTTTGCTAACATATTTTTTTTTTCCATAGCTGTCTGGTTTTGTCTATAGGAAGGTTGCAGACCTCTTATCTTTGAATAAATTTAAAAAGTAGAAAAACTGAAAAATTCTTGAAATACATAGACATCATATCTTTTGCCATTTGAATTGGTCAAATGTCTTTAAAACCGTCAGATGCTTCAAAGTCTTTTGGGTTTTCTGATATATATGATATTGAGAACTTGTGTTGCTGGGACAACATAAGAGGGAAAAATGAAGCTACATTATTGCTACAGTAATTTTTGAAGTATATAGTGACTACTGGTAGATTTACTTCTCTTTTTGTCTTTTAGTCTCCCACAAAAGCTGTATATAATGCTAGACACTGGAACCAGCCGGAATCAGAGGCTCTGCCAGCACCACCGGTTTTGAAAACTCCCAGTGTCCCAGTAAGTAGACTGTTTTTTCTCAAGCTTAGTAAGTCTCTTTTTACGATTCACTGATACTTTTTGAAACACAAGTTCTTGATATCTGGTAATGTCACAGTAATTCAGAATGAAATCCACTTTGTGATGTGAGCCATTGCATATTTGATAGGAAAGACATTATCAGTGGAAATACTCTAGAACGGCATCATCCGTATCATTTCAATATACAGATGGAAAAAAACCCCAAAAACCCCAAACTCCAATCAAGTTATGTTCCCTAATCTACTGAAGTTAAGCTTTTTAACAATGGACTCCATTTTGTCTTCTGTGAGAGCCCTAAGATTAACTTGCTAATACCCATAAGAAAGCAGCCAGTTGCAGGTCAAAAATGAAAAAAATTAAAAAGAGATACTTCATTTCTTTTTCCTTTCTGATGGAGTAAAGTATTGTGAATTGCTCACTTGAGTCATTGGACACTATTCAGCATACAGCCAGAAATGCTGATATGAACATATTAGATCTAAGCATGTCTATAAACAGTAGAGAAGAGCGAAAACCGTTCTAAAAGTAACTTGTTTGTTCAAAAATCAATGATTGTTCTGAGCCTTAAGGTAATTGGTTTTTAACTCTTTTGAGATCCTGAGAATCCAGGGTCTTGGGCTTATATAGGTGTAAAAGTTGTTACTGATTATGCTAAGAGAGCATTGTACATTGTCAGTAAACTTCATTTGATGCCTTCCTTACAGTACTTGCCTGAGAACAGAAAATCAGAATCTAGGTATTTTTGCTGTGATAAGTCTTTAGCTTTTGTTCTTGTCACCAGTTTCAGGGTTGGGGTTTTTTTGTTTGTTTTTTAATTCTACCTCTGTGTGTGTTATTCTGATACTAGTTCCTTTTTGATTTATGGTTGTTTTTTGGTTGCATCCTCACAGTATTCTGAACAGCCTTCCTTCGATGTTAGCTGCACTGCCTGGAAAATGCAGACTGACTCATTTTAAAATAACTATTACCACTAGCGTTTGAGGAGAGCAGAAATTTCAGTCCTGGGTTTCTCCTAAACCCCTGTCTCAAATTTAAATTACGTGCATTTGAACTGAAGCTTCTGTTGCGTACTGAATCTTTGTATTGATACTGATTCTTGTGAAGTACTTTGATAGCTAACTTAAAGGCAGATTTTGTGTGAGTCTTCTCAGACTTTGAATACATGTCCTCTTGAGACTAGGAAAATGTCTGGATCATTCATATTCAGACAAGCCATTTTGTCTTCTATCAAACTTCCACTTTGTAACTGGAACCATCAAAATATTAATTCAGGAATATGGCAGAGGTTTGGCTAAACAAACCAGTTTAGGGAATTGGTATCTGCTTCTCATGTTGTGATGTACATCTGAAGTTACTTCAGCCACTTTTTTAACCTTGATTTATGTGTGTATGATTAAGATTTAAGAGTTACAAGATAAATGAGCCTTGATCTAAATGTTCAGCAGTAATCCCTGCTCAGATGATCCTGCCTCTTTAATTTCTGTAGAAATTTGTTTCCTAAAGATCTGGATAAATTTGTCTTAAATCTACAGTGAGAAGCCCATAGCATGCAAACTGCTTATGCCAAGTACTCTTTCTTATGGCCTCTCCAAGCTCCCTTGGAATTTGCTTTGAAGGGGAAGCCATTAACCAAGACTTGGATGAGATACTTGACTGGATCTCCTGTGTTCACAGACTGATAAGATCAGAGTCCTCCAGTATGTGCTCTGAACCAGCTTTTCAGGGTGGCTTATTAGCATTTTGCCACTGGAGCCTAAGTGAGCAAATACTGATGTGCTGCACAGTGATAGAGGCAGCATGTACAGAATACTCCATTAATATAGTTGGTTGTTTTGGCTTATATTTTAATTCTGACTGTCAATGTACAATGCACAAGAAGGTTTCCTCTCAAAATATCCCCTGAGTGAGCAACAGTTAGTGTGTCTTCTATGCTTGCATGTTAATTCTATTATTAAAAAAAAAATAAAAATCTTATTTCTCCATGTAAGGAAACTAAGTACATGATATTACTTAAAGATTGAGGGTGAGTAAATGACCACTGGCATTGGCACTTGTAAATTTGGAATTTGGAGAACCTTCCTTTATGCCTTGTTTTCTGTAGTTTGTCTTCACATCTGAATTTGTGCCAAAATAGTAATCTGAAGATAAGCTGACACTTAAACTTATAATATCCTCAAACTGATACAGAGTAGTAGGTTAAGCAGAAACCTGTCATACTTACCTGAGACAGCTGGAAACTTGTCAGTAGTTACTCTAGACCTAACATCCAATTCTCTACTAGCTGTTTTAAGTTCAGAATAGGTTTTGCTGTATTTGGTGCTAAACACATCGCTCCTAAAATATTAACAACACAAATATGAATAAGGCCAGTGTACGAAGAATACCATGAATTTAAAAGTACATACTCTACCTGTTTGAGGCATGCACTGTGCCCCTCTCCGGCAGTTTGTTATGGTGCTACAGAATTTATATTGGTAGTCTTCTACCTACAGACAAAGCACAGTTTGGAGTATCAGGCTGGAGAGGTTGGTTTTCTGATAGTTACACCCTGAGTACAGTAGTGCAGTAGCCTCCGGTAGTCAGAGAAGAGAACAGTAAGCACAGTTTTTCAGCTGAAGCTCTGTTGAGACAGTGATTACTCAATACTGTGCTCGTATCCAGACCAGTGTACATAATACCAATGTTCAGGGTAGCAATCAACTCAGTCCTGGAAGCTCCATTGTAAGGGGGTAAGATACTTGTAAGTATCAACAAATAATTGTTTTTAATCACTGAACTTGGTTGGTTTACTTGCCCTAAAGCTTAAGGAACCAGTGTAAAGGTTTTTTTTTTTTCCTTCTTAATTTCAGAATTCCATTGGAGCTTTCCTGACTACTTAGAACTGGTTTTTGTATTTAAAAATTGCATATAATTTCTGTCGATTTTTTTTTTTAAGAGTAGGTACATTATCACACAGCTTAGGTACATCTTGGTAGTGTAAGGCAAGGACTAAATAGTCCCAAAATGTGAATTTGACAATTGCACACCTGTACTGTTTCCTGATGTGTTTAGTGTATGTTTACATGCTCAAAACATCTGCCCATTTTAGCACTTTCTTATTAATAGGTAAGGCTATCTTCAAAGGAGGCAATTCATAAAGATGATGGAGTTTTTAAGGCTCCTGCACCACCTCCCAAAGTGATAAAAACTGTGACAATACCTACTCAGCCCTATCAAGAGATAGTAACTGCATTGAAATGTAGGAAAGAAGACAAAGAAGTAAGTATTCTTAACAAATTTTTAAGATAAAGATTTATTGGTAATCCTAAGTACTGAAGGAACAGTGTCAAAATGAAATTTGGCTTTCCTATTAAAGATAATATTTTTGTCTAAATAGTTGAATGGCCTTCATTAACTTCTTAATGTTTCCTTGCACTCAAAACTGAGTAGATTTTAAACTGTACTTGTTAAGGTTGTAATCAATCCCAAGAGCAACTTACCTAGGTCAAAATATTTGTCTCTTCCAGTTATACACTGTTGTTCAGCATGTAAAGCACTTCAATGATGTAGTGGAATTTGGTGAAAATCAAGAATTCACAGATGATATTGAGTACTTGCTAAGTGGATTGAAGAGCAATCAGCCCCTAAACACACGTTGCCTTAGGTAAGATATCTTAATATAAAACACTGAACTTACATTTAAAAGCAATATTGAATTAAATACGTATTCATCAATGAAGTGACTGTGCTTTAAAATGATGCTTGGGTAGTTACCTGGCACTTCTGCTAGAATGAATAAAATTTAAAAATAATCATCAAGATGATATATTCTGAATAATCATAAGTAGTATGGCTAGGAAGATGAAATGGAAAATTGTACCATAAGAGACACCTTCAACACGCTTGTTTTCCTTGCTATAAATTAAAAAAATATTTTCTAATAACTTTTCTTTGTTTAGTGCAATCTTATGTGCAATGTCTGTTCTGGTTTTTAATGAAAAATTCAATTCTAAAAGAAAATCCCTAAGACTGGAAAGTTTGCTGGCTATAATCCAGAACTAATGTAATATTGAGATACTTGTTTAACTCCAACCCCCTATTCTTTATCTTCTGTTGAGACATAACATAGCTAGCATCCACTGGAAGTATTGTGGCCTCAATATTAATTGGAAGTTTCCCTAAGTTGTCTTGAACTACTTGTTGCACTCTAATACTAAAGTTACACGTTATTGTGAAGTTAGTATCAAAAATGTTAGTTTTGCTTTGAAAAAGTTTGTGACTTAATATTGGTGTCCATTCCCTGGACATAAAAGTAATGAGAATAATGTTCTGTAACCACATAATAATCTTTTTTTTACACTTGTAAATTTTCCTTTCTGTTTAGCAAAATTAAAATACTAGAGAAGGAAAAACTTGGATCCACAGAGGCAGGTGATGAGGACACTTTACTTGAGATTTGACTGTGGATGAGAAAAAGCTTTATATGCTTTTGAGAGCTGTTTAAAAAAAATTTTTCTTCATGTTCCTCAAAAACTAGCAATATTGTTGCTGGAGTATAAACACGCGAAATCTATTACCTAGTTTGTATGTACGTTATGATAAGAATAAATTAATACCATAATGATAGTTTAGGAGTGTTTTTCATATTAAGTGCACTTAATTTGCTCATATGGCAAGCTTCCTAAGATCTTAAATTGAGATTATTTTTTTTACTTTCCAAATTTATATCATGAAATGTAACTTGTATCAACACCATAAACATTTTTTCTTTCAGTTAACAAATTAAAAGAAAAGTATTTTTCCAAAGGAAATCAATGTGTAAGGATAGGAATAGACGTAAAAGAATCAGAAACGGGTAGGTAAGCTCTAACTGGTGCTGTTGTGATTGGAGGCAGAAAGACAACTTGTTCTTTAAACACCATACCATATGAATCTGTCATAAGAAAATTCCACAGTAGTCACAGAAAACTTGATTGCAGAATCACTCCCACATTACTCCACATTTAAAAGCAATATATTTTTAATAGTCTATATGTTGGGCTGTGCTAGAAATGGCAGACAACTTGCTAGTAAAACTAAGGGAAGAATTCTATTTTTAAAATAGAACTGTTACACTGATCACTGATTAGACTAATATATTTGTCAGATTTACCTGAAATCTGTAGTGTTTCCATCAACCATGAACACAGCAATAAATATTAAATATGTTTGGGTTTTTGTAAAAGTATTGTCAGGCGTAAGCAGGACTAATCAGTCCATTAGATAACTGTTAGATAGCGATGGAAGCTCACATTTATAATTTCTGATAATGCCTCAATACATAATAAGGTCTCCTGTGCCTCTAAATCAGAGCTTTGTGCTGAATCCATGAACATTTTACTTTTAATTTAACTATTTGAAATTATTTCAACTTTGGTTTGAAAGAAGCAAGTTCAGGGTACCCTTTCAAATCTGGTTTTTAGCCAACCTTAAAATAAAGGAGATGTAGTTTGGTGCTGGTAAGCAACTATTGAATAAAATGCTGCTCTGTTCACCGATTACAAAACTGTCTTATACAAATTTTAAACGAAACATCCCAGCAGAGTTTGTCAGGATCTGAGATATATGGTCAATCACGTTTTGTAGACGTGTTTGCCATTTTTGTAAATATTCGTTTTAGTTGTTCTAATCCAGAATTAATTTTCTCTAGTGTAATCAGCTTGGCGACAAAGTGCGCCATGCCCAGCTTCCGAATGCATCTGAGAGCACATGGGATGGTAGCCATGGTTTTCAAAACGCTGGATGATTCCCAACACCATCAGGTACGGATACATTGTGTATTTCATTAAAGTTTGATGATACCTGTCTACTTGGTGTGAATTACGTGTGTACACGTAATTCAAGGCCAAGTGTCCATTATGGTGTGGCTCCATTTTAGTAATGAAAAATAAAAGCACCTGCATTCCAATGACAAATTCCCCTCCCACTGTTTATGTGCCTCTGGGTTTGGAAATTATTTAAAAATCATTTAAACTGTTTAAAAATACTGACTGTGCTTTGGATTGCTATTTCTTATCTTCTCTTACGCTTTTTTCATAGTTTTATTGTTCTATTTATAATTTCCCTCAAAATAGACTTGAAAGGAATCCTTTCTCCTTATAAAGATGGCTCTAAGTGCTCATCTCCAGACTTGCTTGTATGTGAATTAGTGCCTTTTCTGTAGCTGTCATGGGGCATTTTTCAGATGCTGTGCTTGTCTCCTTGAGCAGTGCCACAATTACAGTTGTAGGATGCCTTTGAGTATGTGCAATGTCCTATGATGAATCTAGGAAAGGTAAATTTTAACTACTTATGGTAACGTGACCTGAGAGTTAAAAAACTGAAGCAGTTTGGGTTTTCCTTCTTATCAATTTACAAGTTCAATTCAGCTCTAATAGAAAATGCTTCCTGGGGCTGATGCTATTTTTCCAGCGGTTGGAAACCGTGCTTCTGTGGGGCATCCCTTGAGGTGTTGTTACAAAAGCTGAACATAGGAAATGTTACTTGAAGGGGGTAGTAGATATGTATATCCAGTCAAGTTTATTACTTTTATTTAATAACTCTGGAAAAATGACATATAATGCAGAAGGAAATTTTGCACCCAGAGAAACAGACATTTAAGAGAATGTATTTGACATCTTACTGTTACGGGGGGAAAAAGCTGTAGAGCTTGAAGTAGCTAATTTAGGATAATAGCTTATTTTCCATCTCCCTCAAAAATTAGCAATGCCTAACTGTAAAACATAGGAACCCAGTTCAATGCAGTCATTATTTTGTGAGCTGTCAAAATAGTGCCAAGTGATACTAGAAATAAAGTATAGTCACACTATTTAGGACAGTTGCCACCACTGAGTTGCAGGAGATCTGCAGAGGAGAGCTACAGTTCCTTGGAAAGTGTACAAGCTTGCTCGGTGTATTTTTGGCTGTCTGTTAACAGTTACCATTATTCCTTCATTTTCAAAAGAACTAGCACATACCGTTCAAAAGGAAATTGCATGCTGCTATTAGTCTGCAGTAACAAAAAGCATTGATTATATTCACTACTTTCAGTATATTTGATTGAACGCTTCCTTTTGTGAGGAGGAAAAAAAAAAGTAGTTAACGTTTTAATACAGTGCATTCTTGGTACAGGTTATACAGTATTATAAAATTACTGATTTATCAAACTACTATTAATAAATGCTAAAATGTGTGCTCTAACTACTGACAGTATATGCTTCAGCAATGACCTTCTCTGTATGAGCTTGCTGTCTTTATGTACTAGCCTTCCATCCACTAATAGACTGAGAAAGTAGGGGACTTTATTTCTTATTTCCATAAGAATATAGAATAGCAGGGGGTTTTTAACCAGCAAGAAAAACAAAATAGCCAGTTATCTTACTGAGCTATTCCCCAAAATATTTACATGAAAATTACTTGTTGCACCAAATTTTTTGTTGTAGATTTGTCTTTAAGCTACAGTTTCAGTTTTTAACTGATGTTGTCTCTTCAGCCATGCTGTAAAGGTTTTGGAATATTACTATTTTTTAAACTAAAACCTGTATTTTCATTGTAGCTGTCAGTAGTTAAGCACAGAAATGTGGTTTTGTAATGTCTTCAGCATGTGAATAATAAAAAAAGTGCATTAAATGTAGTGCTGAACCCTAGAAAATAACCATCTGTTCCCACAAGCTGGAGTATAAATAGAACAAGCAAAGGAAGACAGGGATGAGAGTGGGTGTAAATGGTCTGCCGTTCCTGGAGTATATGTTCAACTAGGATGTTTTCCTGAATTCTGCAGAAGTATGGGGTGAAATTTCATACTTAGAAATTTCTGTCTAGAGCAAATTGTATTTATTTTACTCTTTTTCTCCCTTCCACGTTTGTTTGGAAGCAGAATGTGTTTTCAGCATCTTGAGGAATAGAATGGGGGGGAGGGGGAAGCCCACCCAAAAAAACAGCTTCACCACTGCAATTGATGAGGGTGGGATTTTGAGGGTTTGATTGGGTTCTTTGGTGGTTTTGGTTGGGTTTTTTTAGGATATTGATCAAAAATTAGTTGTACTGACAATTTGCCCCTCTTTCTCAACTCAGACTTCTGTGTATGGTAGGGCATGAGCTAGCTTTCTGACAACGTGGTTAACTTTTTAATGCTTACAGATCACAGCAAAATGTGGAGTTGCTATAGTCAAGATTAAACCACCTTGCCTATAGGGACTAAAAAAATATGAACTTTAGAAAACCCATATTGCTGGCATGTAGCTTATCATGTCCCACATTATAAGCACCATTGACATTTGAGGTCCTACCTTTTGCAACATCACTATTTTCCTGTTGTACGTCAGCATTTGGAGGTTCGTTGGCCTGATTGCCTTCTGCTTATAAGCTGTTGCAGGAATCTAGTTCTTGTTACACATACCTATGGCACTCCTTTTTGCTTTTCTGGCAGTCCTCCTGCAGCCTGAAACCTTCTGTGTAATGTTTTAGTTCCCTGCTTGGGTCCCTTCTGATCATATTTAAGTATCTTAAAACCTGGGTTGAAGATCAGAAGGGAGGTGTTGACACAAGAGCTTGTGCGGAGGGAGAACCAATACTCTGCATAATGGGATGTCGGCTGGATTGCAAAGAAGGGAGCCTTGGACAGGCAACAGCTTGGTATGGAGGCGTACAAAATGAGCGTGATCACCCTTATCAGACTTTGGAGTATCTATAAAGCATTTCTGAGTGATCTAAGAACAGTCTCTGACTCTTTGAAAAGCCTAAATATTGGCAGCCCAGATTATAAATTCAGCAATTTCCCCCATTAACTGCTGCATACTTTCTAGTTGATAGAAACCTCTTTAGGTGCTTAAGGATTTTTTGTTTTTGTTGTTTTTACCAGGAAGTTCACCTAGGTAATGCTGGTAACTAGAAAGTAGTTCTGCATAGCTATTGCTTTATGAGGTCCCACATCAGCTGAACGACCAATCAAACCCTTGGTTTCCCCAGAATGCACATGCTCCTTTGTCCTGTTTTAGTAACTGTTGTTCTGAAGGAAGAGAGGTCTTCTTCCAGGAAGCTGACATTTCTTACCATTTAAACCAGTTGAAAGTAAATCCAGAGTAAATAATTTATATAATTAAAATGATACAATTGCAAGATTTATTGGGGAAAGTTAATAGAAATTAAGGGAAAACAATGTGTACCCTGTCTATGTAGTCAAGCCACATAGATTGTTTTCTGCTCTACACCTGACAAGGCTGGAGTAGTGATATTCACAGCTAAGATTGGTGGTTTGGTTTTGTTTTGGTTTGGTTTTTAACTAACCCTGTGTCTCAAGGTTGTATTAATGAAAGGAGATGTAGATTTGGAAACTTGCTTCCTTCCTTTGCTGTTCCAAATGCATCTTTGGTAGTTAGTCACATTAAAGTCTTTATTCACCTGACAGTTTCCTTGACTCAGACAGGAAGGAGTTTTAACATAGCCTTTGATAGACTGTCAGCTGCCTAATCCTGTTTTGGAAATGCTGATACTGCTTAGTATGACCAGGTATGATTATTACTTGCTTCTAAAATAAACAGAAGCAGCTAATGATTGCTTGGTGGTTGGCTGAACTCTAAACAAGATGTTAATCTACTATGACAAAGAAATTCTGCTCTTTCCTGTTGAGTTGTACAACGTTCACATCCCAGAATTAGTTTGTCTCCAATTTTATTTTACTTTATACAGAAAAAAATGGAATAGATGCATGCAGCCTGTTGACGAGAGTTCAACTCCGTAAACTCTCACACACACACACCCTTCAGCTCTTTTTTCCTCCAGATATGGTCAAAGGTTTCTGAAAGTATTGTGCCCAGCACAACTCAATTCTCCATGAGCATTTCTCTCCTTTACCATAACTTGGAGCTCACCTGGATGGATGAGTCTTCTGGTGCAACTGCAGTACTTACCAGCCCTGGGGACAGATAGCTTTGCTCTGATCTCTTCACTGTTGTTTGTCCCTTCCTGACAGTCACCTTCTGCCTTTGCTTTTCTGGATCCTCATGAAGATGAAATCTAGTTCCTTTTTGAAGAAGGATTCAGTGTTCTTTAGCCAGGAAGAGGTCCCTGTACACCAATTCTGTGTAAGATAGGGATGGTCAAGAAAAAAACCCAACATTTACTTGTTAAGGTCTGATGGGGATGGGGCAGAGGGGAAGCTGGTTTGTACTCTGGCTACTTCCAGAAGGTGGAATTCCCCTGGAAGTTAAATGTGTTTATGCTGGAAAGGTTTGGGTAAACTATTGACTGATAGACCCGTTTGTCAGAATCAGAATGTCACCAGGTGCTTTGTTTTGTTTTGGTTTTGTGTTTTAGTTTTGGGGGTTTTTTGTTTGTTTTCTCCCCTACCCCCTTCGCATGCAAACACTGTCCCCATGATCTCTGTATTTTCTGGTGCTGTCACTGGCTTATCCCATCGAACCAGAATGATCACTTAGCTTGCGATGTACCCTGTGCTTTTTCACTTTGTTCCCCTGCCATCTGTCTCTTCTATAATGTCGTGTTAATGGAGTTACTGTTTTTTATTCTGTCTGCAGCACTGAGTCCCTTAAAAGTAGAAAACCCTGCTTTTCTACTTGGGTTTTGTAAATATATTAAGTGATTTATGCCTCAGTTGTATTAGTTAGGAGAATGCATTAGTAATTGCTAGAAGAAATCTGCGTACAACAGTAAGTACTCATGCAAGTGCTAGCGTAGATGAAGACTTGTCAGGCTTTTTCTTTTGCAAATCTTCAGCTTGTTTATTAGAAATTGTAAAAGATCTGCCTAACATGATTACTAAAACCTCTTTTTTTTTTTTTTTCTTCCAACCCAAGAATTTGTCCCTTTGTACAGCAGCTCTAATGTACATCCTGAGTAGAGATCGTTTGAACATGGATTTAGACAGAGCTAGTCTAGATCTGATGATACGGCTTTTGGAATTGGAACAAGATGCTTCTTCTGCCAAGCTGCTGAATGAAAAAGACATGAATAAAATTAAGGAAAAAATTCGGAGACTGTGTGAAACTGTTCACAACAAACATCTTGATCTTGAAAACATCACGGTGGGTATCGTGCTTTTATTTGAAAGCCTTGGCAGTAATGGAATGCTTAATAAAATGGAACTTGTAAGCATCATCCTTAATCTCCTATCTCCCAGCTAAGAATTCATGACGCTTTATCTACCTTCCATGTGTATATGACTGTACTGCAAGTATTTTCTTCTTTAAATCTGAAATTTCCTTTCTAAAAGGCTGTTAGTAGGATAAAGTTACGACTTCACTAATTGTTCCTGCTAAGGGTTGCCAGTTACAGGTAGCAATTAAAACCAAGTAACGCTTTAAATTACCGTGTGTTTGACACTGTTTCTTTGCCTAAATTTTATATAAACATTGACAAACAATAGGAGTTCTTACATGGGAATGAGAGTATTGTGTGTCAATTGAAAATGTCGTGCAGCTTCTCCCATTTAAAAAAAAAAAAAATCCAACAAAACTGTCCTACAGAAACTAGTTTGTCTCTGCCCAAAGTGCGGTGGCAGATCTGTTGAATACCATAAATGTGATTTTTTTTTTTTTCCTTCCTTTCTCAAACATACTTGTTTTTTTATGAATGGGTCTTCAACTGCAACAGAGAGAACTGTTTTTGTATAAAAGTAAATTTGGCCATGGTTTGATGCTAGCATCAAGCTAGCTTGAAAAATAAAGGGTAAGTTGCGAGTCTTCTTAAAAGAGTGTATTTAAAGAATTGATGACAGATTGACTAGATGAGTGGTCATAGATGGCAAAAATTAGTAATGTGGTTTTGCTTTCACTATATTTCAGTATAACAGATGTTAGTATGATCTTAATTTTTTGACATCTTGTAATAAGTTGTTTTAATGTTTTAAAGATTCTTACTAAGTTTTTGCCATTTTTCATGTAATAGAGCTGATAAGAGAAGCTTCTGATATATTGTTTATGAAGTGAGCTTTTCAGAGCTTTATCTCTGCAAGTAATGTTTCAACTCTTGCTGGTAATGTGCACTTAAGATTGTATTCCATTTTAGGTTAGATGAAAAGATGATACGTCTTATTGAGCTGGCATTTTCTTTTATAGTTTTAGTGACTTTTTTGTTGGTTTAGGAAGGGTTTGGTTTGCGTTTTTTTCCCAAAATTCTAGCTATGAAACAGCTGAATCGATAAGAAAAGTCAGTATTATATAGCAGTACAAAGAGCTGAATTTTGGGGGAGGAAGGTAATATTGATGACATAACTCTTAACCTCGGTAATCAGTTTATGGTGACAAAGCAGAATTGTTTCAGAGTTTGTTTTAGGCTTGTTTCCTACAAACCTATGAAACATGCGGGTAGGGGGCTCGTATTGATTTCTGACCTTTGAAATCTGCAAAAGAAGAATGAATTTGAGATTATTTTCTCCACTTTCAGCTTACTCTGTGAATTCACATGATACAATCTGAAGATGCCAACACAGAATGAAATTTGTTCTCTAGGTGGTGATCAGGGAGGCATTGGTATAATCAGTGTCTTATTTCAGTGCTGTTTTGGCACCAAAGGCAGCTCACGTAGCTCTCAGTCTGTCAGTGCCAGGATATCTTTTGCACTCTAAAATGTAAGACAGCTCCCTTTATTAAGCATGGAACAGCTGGTACAGGTTCCTCATTGCTAAAGCATCCAGCCACACAGACCACTGTCTCCTCTTTGAGCTTTTCTCATATTCATAATCTGAGCTAGCCTGATGGGTTTTTATGAACTGTAATTCTGTTCTTGTGTTTTCTTAGGCATGGGTTTGAAAGGGAGAGGATATATTAAAAGGGACTCTGTCTTCCCTCTGTGAGGAAGCTGTTCATGAGTAGAGAGTAATATTATCACAGGCCATCAGTTTCAGCTGGTTTGTTTTTTTTTGGTTTGGGGTTGTTTTGTTTTTTGGTTTTTTTCCTGAGGCATCTCTATTTCTTACATTATGTTGAGCTGTTGTAAATGTGTTGAATGCTGTAGTACCTCGCAGATGGAAACTGGTACCCTCCCAGCTGCACCATCTAGATGCAGAGACTATATAGTGTTTAGAGAATATATGCAAGCCAAATGAGATGATTAGATTCTCTTCCAATTTATGATAGTAGCAGTGGTAAGTTGAGATGATAATGAACTTCGTATGTAAAAGATAGTTGTTTTCACATAGATCTCTGTCATGAGATATAATCTCTGTTTAGTACCAGATGACAGGCAAAAAACACTAACAAAAATGCAAATCTTCTGGGGGTAAAGAAAAGATCTGTGCTTTTTCAGACTCCGACATATCCACTGAGAAACAGGAGTGTAGCAGATGTTTTGATAACTCCAGTTTGTGCCTAACTGGTTACACCTTAATTTTTTTGTATCTTACGCAGATCAAGTGAAGGTGATCAATACTGCCTCTTTCCACAGACAGTGTTGTTTGTGTGACTATCTAGATGTTAGATTGGACTAATTTTTGAGTACTCAAACAGGTATTCAAAAGATTCTGTTTTCTAGAATGCATGAACATTAAAAATCTAAAAGGAGTTCTCTGTGGGTTGAATTTGTTCCAGGGGTTTTTTTGCTGGCTTAGAAGATGATAAAACCTGAAAAACCTAGCCTTCATGGCAGCAAATGGCACTTGCCTGTCAGTCAGCACAGCCCTCTGTAGCTGATGCTTGCAGCCAGCTCCTCTCCGTTGCATCATAACGAAAACCTTCAGAAGTGACTTCTCTTTTCAGCTGGTGAAAGAGGGTATTCTGTTTTTTCACTCTCAGCATAAGGCTGAAAGCTTAAGGGAACCATGTTTTGAACCTTTGGTGTTAAAATTTCATAGTAATTGACATAAAAATGGATAGAATGGATTGTTTTCCTCAAAAGCAAAAGGTTGACAAGGTTTGGTTGATTTTTATTTAAAAGAAAAAACAAAAAAAACAAAACAAACAAAAAACCTACAAAAAAAACCCCAACAGTTGAAAATTGTGCTCTTATACCCAGTAGTATAAATATCGTGTTATATTCTCCTGGAGTTTTTTGAAGTCTTATTACCCTTTGGTGGAAAACTAAGCCTCATATTTTAAATACTGTGTGGCCTTTGAGCTTTCATAGTGAAGGTATTTAGGAAGTTAACTAAATCTTTTGTACCCCTAAAGATCTGTAAGGAGAGTTTTCAATCAGCTTCTATCAATCTGGTTTCGGTTATGCATGATTTCAGATATCCAAGTTAGAATATTTTCAAGCTCAGTCTATAAAAGTGAAAGGCATCATCTGAAGAGGATGGGAGAGCGTCAGAGAGCTAGGGATCTGTCAAACTGCTGTTTTCAGGTCCTCTCCCCTCCTCCCTCAAAACACTTTCTTGTTTGGTTGGCTTCCGAAGGGAAGTTCTCCATCCGTTGCTTAAAATAACCTCATCTCCTCTAGCATTATGTTTTTAACTTACAGTTTTTAAAAGTGTGAGGTTTTGGATCTTGTATCTCCCAGTGATGAGAGGAGAACACTCTGTAACCAAGCGTGTTTAGTTTTCCTCCTGTGGGAGGACTGGAGGAGTGGCTGTTGGCAATGACAGGTAGTTAGCAGTTTCCAGGGTGGTGAAACAGTTGCAGGAGTAATTGCAGCTTTGTCTTTGTTTCCTCTGCGATGGGGAATCAGATGCTGCTGACTGGGGGAAGAATGGCCTATTGCAGATTTGCTGCTGGTTGTGTTCTCTTGTCCCCCAAAGCACTGTCATGACCCAAGGACACCTCCATTTACACTGGAGAAATGCTGTGACTCACTATGTGCTCATCAGTGACAGCGTGTTGCAGAGCTTGCTCCTAAAAGAAGGGAGATAACTAACTATGGATGTTAACTCTTCTTTACCAAGACTAATCTTCAACTTTCTTTTCCTCCTTGGAAATCAATATTTTGAAAACAAGGAAAGCTGCTGAAGCTGTTGAGGGGGTGTCATACAATTTATAACTTGGTTTTCCAAGACAATGGGGTGTTTACTCAAGCCTGGTGAGCAGTGTTATTCCCAGGAGGTGCTGAGGTTTGAGCTGATATCCTGGAACACGTTGCACAGCTCAGAATAAGCACAGCCCTCCTGGAAGCGTTGCAAATCAAATGTGTCAGGGAGGGAAGATAACTTGGGAGTGGTTAAATTCAGGTGGCTTTAATGAGATTTTATGGCCTTTTCTCTGACCTTTCATTGCTGTATTTTTGTGCCATATATGAAATTATTAAGATTATAGTAGTCCAAATTTGCCTGTGCATTGTCCAGGTGTTACAGAAGTCTATACTGATTTACACCTTTTTGTGTAGGTGTAAATTTTATATGTATGTATGTGTTCTGTTATTAACCTTTGCCTTTTATTAGAGGCCTTTGGAAAAACAAGTTATAGTCTTGTTATTTTTGTTAAAAAGATGGCAGGGAATGGAGATTAACTAAGATAATCACCTAAAATCTTTTCAACTTCCATTTACAGGGAGTAAACTTATCATGGAATCACAGAATGGTTTGGGTTGGAAGGGACCTCAAAGATCATCTAGTTCCAACCCCCTGCCATGGGCAGGGACACCCTCCACTTATCTTTGCTGTTGTTGAATTTTGATATGTATTCCTCTTTCTAAACAAACAAACAACCCACAGTAAATGTAGTAAGATTTTCTACAGTGTTTTAGTTTAATTACTATCTTCTAAGAGTTTAAAATTAAAACCCCAAAATACCTACGTTAGAATCAAATGTATTCTACAAGCAGCAAAGCCAGTGTCTCTGGGAGACAGAGAAGCAGTGTTCAGTCATGATTTTTTCCTGGCTGGCTTATTTGTCCATTCCCTTCCTTCACTTGTTTTTTTCGATAACAAGAGAAACAGATGAAAGGAGGCTGCTTAGGTTTTCTAAGCTATTAATAAAATCAAGGAAAAGTTGAAAATGCAAAGTACCTTTTTATTAGTACCAAGTCATTTTTTTAAGATACGCCTATTTTTCAATCTGTTCTTGCTCCCTCTGGTGGTGGTTCTACTCGGACACTAACTTTGTTATGGTTTTTATATGATGTGTATTTGTATGATTTGATATATTGGCTACAGCTGCATATGATGATTTCACTAATTCTGGAACCTAACTCTTTCAGACCGGGCATTTGGCAATGGAGACCTTGCTGTCTCTCACCTCAAAACGAGCTGGAGACTGGTTTAAAGAAGAACTGCGACTTCTAGGTGGTCTTGATCATATTGTAGATAAAGGTATATTGGAGATGCTACTTTTACAGTGTGAAAAACTAATGAATCTTACTAAGATGTTAGGTTTTCTTAATATTCATTTTCTGTGGTTAAAAATAGAAACACTATCTTTTTCTCAGCAATGTTAAAAATAAAGTACGTTCTATATCAATTCACTGGGAAATACTAGTGACTTTAATCTGTTGCATGTGGGATTGAAAGTAGTTTTAAGGTTAAACAGAATGTGTATAATGTTGCACATAATGTGTGAGATTAAAAATGGATTAAGCTTAGACAGAATACAGGTTACTGTGTTACATATCTCTGTACAGCACACAAATACAGCACTCTTATTCTAGAGTAAAATCTCCTTTACAGTCTTCTAGAATTATTTTCAGGCCTGATATTTTTAAACTAAAAATCCCAGAGGAAGTCAGCCCTTTGAGAAGAAAGGGGGGGGGGGGTGTGTGTGTTTCCTTATTTTTTTAAAGATATGCCTTGGTTAGGTTTTTTGGATGAGCATCTCACAGATAGGAAAAAGGACATTTCTAAAATGAATTCTTGAGCTGAATAAAGCTTGGTCTTAAGTAAGCAGAGCAGTGGACAAAGGAAGGATTTGAAGAGATGAAAGCATTCGACTTGCGCACTGTTTCAGACTTGTAAAGTGTGGGGAGAGTGTGCATGCTCTATCTTTTTTTCTCTTCTACAAAACAGTGCATTACTGTTAAGGAACATGGTCATGTGCTGTACAATCTCTTCATGGTCAAATAGAAGATAAAATATACAGATATGTAATTTGTGGCAGCGCTCACAAACTTGTCAAGCTAAAATTATAAGGGTTGGGTTTTTTTAATTTACTTGGAGGAATGAAAAATTTTATAATGCTGATCACGTGTTCGTGATTGTTTCCTTGTATTACAGTTTTGTAAAGTGTAAAACAAGGTTGATAGCAATTCTGAGTAGCTGGTTTGTACGCTTTGCTTTTGAAGACCTCTTACTGATAGTGGAAAACAACTTCTTTGTGTTGTTTAGTTAAAGAATGTGTGGATCACCTAAGCAGTGATGAAAGTGAAGAGAAATTGGTGGCTTCCTTATGGGGTGCAGAAAGATGTTTACGGGTCTTAGAAAGCGTGAGTATTAGCAGATGTGTTACTTTTCCCTCAACCAGACCTTTTCAATGTTACATTCTTTCAATATATGGTTATGTAATAACACTATAATGTTAATTATTTTTATAGAAGATAGTAACCCTCTGATGTTTATCAGTGTTCCTGGAATGTTTGTATGAAAATGTCTTTTACCGTTCTGTATGTATGTACAGCACTGCAGTTTTATTTTTGGTAAGAATAACTGTATGTAGCAAAAAGCTGCTGTGTATGAATGTTGTTTCTGAGGCATGAGTTCGACTCTCTAGTGTGTGTCTAGTAATAATGGATTGTTATAGGAGCAATAAATCAATGTATATTTTTGAAACATCAGCTGGCTAAGTGCTGAAAGTCAAACTGGTCCTGTAATCAGTTGAGTGTGTATATTGAGATGGTAAATATTTTTGACGAGATCTTTGAACAAAATAAAAACACGTGGTACTTCTGTAGAGCTTAATTGACAAGAATTGTGAGCGTATGCTTCTCTACAGTGCCTTGTTTTGCTGAGTTTCATATTTGTTGCTAGTGTTACTCTTTCTGTATTGTGATACAGTAAGCAAGCAGAGGAGTGTTGTGGTGTTTTAGCAGTCCATCTCCAGGCATCAGAAAGTGATGTTTGGGTTCAGACTACAGGTCCACGAATCTTAATGAACACCTTAAACCCAAGTCAGAGTGCAAATAGCTGCAGTGGTAACTTTTCTTCACCAAAATAGAAGGACAGACTCAACGATAGTATACAAGTAAGGTAAAAACCAAGAAAGATGAACAATTCCTGAAGTCCTAATTCAAGGGTGCCTGCTTAAGAATTAATGGCACCTAGCTCTTTACCTGGCTCCTGAACAGTGAGAGAAAAAAAGTTCAGATCCAATCTCTGCTTTTATATTTGATAGCTGGAACTGCCAAGCAATAGTAGAAGAGCCTTGTTTACTGGTAAAATATACAGATTTGAAGTTAAGGGTGGTTTGTGATGTAGTAAGATCTTTAGGAACTTGGGAGAGATGACAAAAATCAACACGCCCGAACCAGTCAAATTTCAGAGAAGAACTTCGACTGTTTCTGAAAATTGATTCTGAATTTCAATCAAGGGAATCAAAGAAAAACTTGATTTTTATGGTTGGATGCATAATAAGCTCTCAGAAATGGAGCTGGTGTCAAGTCCTAAAAATAACATTACATATATAGTTATGTTCTGTGTTATTTTTATATATATTTACATACACTTATATACATACACACTTGGGACACTGTAGTCCCAGGATATGGGTTCTGCTGTGGCAGAACACTGCCACACGGTTTCTGTACTTACTGTATCAGAGAAGATGGTTTTACCTTCAGTGCTGCAATTTTGTGTGATTAATTACAAGGTGAAAACTCCAAGGAAATATTGGAGAATGATAAATGGAAGTTGACACTGGATAATAACCAAGAAATGTGGAATGAAGTGGGGTGGTAGTGGAAGGGAATGCTTCTCTTTCAAGGGAAAAAAGTCCCACTTTAAATATTACTTTTTCCTCCCCTTTTTAGGTAACGGTGCATAATCCAGAAAATCAGAGCTATCTGATAGCATACAAAGACTCGCAACTCATAGTCTCCTCAGCTAAGTAAGTTGTAACAAAAAGGCATTTTTGCAGAGCACTGCACATAATAGGGAAAAAAATAAATGTTATACCAGAAGATTCTAGGGGGGGAAATCCATACTTTTCATTAAGTAATGCTAAAATTAATTCAGATGAGGGTGCAGGTAACTACCTGAGTGCTACCAATATGTAGTGCTGCTATTGTTGGTTCTGTAGAAGCTGCAAAGTGTGGATTCTGCTCCTTCTGTACCAAGTTAATATGAACACAGAAGAGGGCAGTTAGGAAGCTACGTCTATTTATTGTGTTTTCATTATGCTAAAGTGTTTACTGAAATGGAGCATAACCGAATTGACAGTGTAACTAAGAATTTAGAATAGTGAAATTCTGTTCTTAGCTGTTCTCCCTGGCAAAGATGCTTATACAAACATTTCTAACCCATTTATCAATCTGGGTGAGGTCTCAGTTGACTGGCAGAGATTGCATCCCTCTTGTACTGCTCTTCATAAGAGAACAAATTAAGCTGAAAATTTGACTCTGCAGACCTCATTGGAAACATAATTTCATGGTTGTAGGTTAGATATTTTGAGTATTTCTTTAAATTAAAAAACCCACCAAACCAAAGTTTACTATGCTATTTAGACCAATATATATTTTTGACACTTTTGTTTGTAATTGAAATCAGTGTTGTTGGTTTAACATTGAACTAATGTCATGCAGTAGAATCATGCCTGAGGTCCAGTAGTATTATGAAATTAAGATTTTACTGCTAGGAAGTCATGTGCCATTTATTTATTTTATAGAGTGGAAATAGCTCTGAGGACGGAACAAGAGGGCATTTAGATAACACTGTCAGAATAATGTTGTGCCTTGATGGTCAGAGGATATGAGAGGCTGGGTTTGTAGGCAGAGGAGGTATCTTTTGTAAGACTATGAATGATGAATTTGGAAAGAAAGATTAACTTTAAAGCTTTCCTGGTTTTTGTTTTCACAGTTTCAGTTGAGCTCATAAAAGATTTTATAGGTGATAAGTTTATTATCTCTCCCTACAGACTGGGCATCTGGGCATCAGAAAAATTCTGCATAAAATTTGCATTTGAGTTTTTCTCCTGGTGAAATGAGTGTAAGGGTAGAGTGTCTTGTATGTTGTCGAGGTAATTTTGTTCTGCATCTTCTCCCTGCAGAGCACTGCAGCATTGTGAAGAATTAATCCAGCGATATAATCGTGCTGAAGACAGTATCTGTTTACCAGACAATAAGCCTCTGCCTCACCAGAATGTGACCAACCACGTGGGTAAAGCAGTGGAAGACTGTATGAGGGCCATCATTGGTGTCTTGCTCAACCTAACAAATGATAACGGTAAAACAAACAAAACAAAATTTTGCATATTCTGTGTTAAAGCATCAAATAATACATTAATGTAAACCCTTTTATTGATTATGTTTTTTCCACGTACAGTGCAATAAAGCAATTATGTATGGTAGATGCTTGCTTTACAGTAATCAGTAACTTGTCTTTGCAAAGTGGATAAGTAATGGCAAGTATTAAGTGTTGTGTGCTTTGGGTAAGAGTCCCCTTTGTCTTTAGGGACAAAAGGTTATCAATTTGCTTACAACTATGAAAATGAGTATTTTCAAAATTGAGCCTCTCAACTGTCTTTGTTTACAGAATGGGGTAGTACAAAAACAGGTGAACAAGATGGTCTGATAGGCACAGCTATGAATTGCGTGCTTCAGGTTCCAAAGTTCCTACCTCAAGAACAGAGATTTGATATTCGGGTGCTGGTAAGCTATTGTATTTGTTTCATTAACATAAAGTGATTTGCCCCCTTGTGCATTTGTCTACTCTGGCTCCAAATTAAGGAGCAGCCTCTGCAGTTTTCATTGACCATATATATACTTAATGAGGTACTTAGCGAACGTTCCTGGAAGGATTTGGTAGGTTTGAGCTCTAACCATTTTCCCTGTGTTTGGTGGGAAAAAGTGCACTGCTAGATGAACAACAAGATTTGGCTAAATAAGTGTGAATTATCTAGTTTTCAGATGTCTTTTGAATTTTAGAAATATGGTGAATGTTATTGTTTGAGATAAAGGCTTTGTCAAATTTACTTCGGTTTACGTAAAATGAGTCTGTGTGGCCTAAACAGCGACAGTGTAACTGTGTATGTGAAGGGTCTTTTAAGAATGTAAGCTGAGGGTTGGACACCTGAATCCCTGATCTAGAAATGAAATCTCATCTTTAAAAATGTTTCCATGTTCAAAATTGGAAAAATGGAGATTCCTGCATACAAGTTCTAGTATACAGGGATCTCAGTTTTACCTCCTATTTCTTTAAACCCTGATCCATCTGTCTATCAAACTGTTTCATCAAGGTGTAAGTTATGTATCCTCAGAAAGATAAGGCCTAAAGAGGACATTTATCTGGATAGCTATTTTTTTGCTAAATTATCCTTTTTTAATGTGTGTAATCTCTTTGACTCTCCAATTCTTGCAGGGATTGGGTCTATTGATCAATCTAGTAGAATATAGTGCTCGGAATAGGCACTGTCTCGTCAATATGGAAACATCATGTTCTTTTGACTCATTCTGTACGGGAGAAGGAGATGATAGCCTAAAGATAACTGGGCAGATTGATGCTGTTCAGGCTTTAGTGCAGGTAAGAAATGTGTTTTCCCTGTAATAGTTACAATTTCTCATTATCAGCCTGTCAAGGGGGAAGGGAGAACTCAGCACTTGAAGATTTGTCAATATTTTTTTTCCTGTTTCGTATTTTGAGTACTGCAGCACAGTGGGGGAAGAGGGGTGCCGCTCACAACTTTGACTTCTTCAGTACTGTCCATTACAGAAACAGCTTTCCTGGTAGAAGACAGTGGTATCATTATTACAGACATCCAAAGGCTGCTTTCATGCTCCATAAAGCTTTCTTGTTCCTATATGGTTTATTTCTAGTTTTCTTGTTCCTATATGGTTTACTACTTGTTTTGTTTTAAACCAGCTGTAAAAATTGTAAGCTATTTTTGTCTTACATACTTTGCTTCCATATATTTTTTTTTTTATTTAAAGTAGTATCTTTATTGGAGTTTGTGACTTAAAAAATTCATGCTTTGTAAGAGCAGTAAAATATGGATGTAATGAATATGGATGTGAAAGAGCCTTCTTAAATATTGTATTGACTTGTTAAAAAAAGAAATGCACCAATAATTTTGATGAACAAGTTCTACCATGCAAGCTAAAATAAAAGAATTGAAAGGGTTTTAAAGTGCAACCATTTTATTTCAATTGAGATAATTTTATGGACGCTTCTAGTAGTTCTTCTTTAACTATGTGAAATAATTGTCCAGCAGCAGACAAAAAAAAATCAACAATAAAAATAGTATTAAATATCTTAATATACAGCTCTGCAAAGCAATATTTAAAACTGGTGGTTGTATGGTTTGGGAAATAATTCACAAGATACAAGTGCACAATATGAGATCGCTGGTTCAGTCACATCCTTGATAAGTCATTTTAAATTACTCTTTCAAATTTTTGCTTTTTCCGTATCAGGGGAAAAGCTAAGAAAGCAGAGGTGATAGCTAGCATGAAATGAAAATGAGGATTCATAGAGGACAAAAACAGACAGGAAAATATGGCAACTTTTAATCTTCAAGCTGTGTCTCAAAGACGACAATTAAACATTTACGATGCCCAAGAGGAGCCTGCCAACTGGTTCAGCACTGGAGGGGGAGGAGGGGAGGGAGGGAGAGACGCCTTTTCTGTAGAGCACAGCATTGGTGTTGGGGTAAATTATATTTTCCTTTGAAGAAGAAAAGGCTATTGTTAAGAAAAGTATTGAAAACTGACTGCATTAAGGGGTGAATTGTGTAGGGGAAATAAACTTTCAAGTATTAATTCAGTGTGTTTCGGATTTAATTTATAATAGAAATTCTCCTGAAATTTTCCCCATTAGCTATTTCTTGAGCGTGAGCGAGCGGCACAGCTGGCCGAGAGCCAGACAGATGAATTGATTAAAGAAGCTCCTACTGCTCAACATGATAAGAGTGGGGAATGGCAAGAGACGAGTGGGGAGATACAGTGGGTCTCCACAGAAAAGTCAGATAGTACTGAAGAGAAAGATAAGAAGGAAGAAGATGATGAAGAACTTGATCTTAATAAAGGTACGTTGTCTGGTTGTGATGAGCTCAGAAAAGGCAGAGAGGTCCGTGATTGCTTAAGTTGCTTAAATTATCCTCTGCTTCTTAGCTACGTGCGGTCTCTTGGGCTGAGATTTCCTCAGTGTATCTCCCAGGTAAAACTGTTACAGATCCTAAGTAGGAGCAGTTCAGAGCTGAAGCATGGGAAGTGGAAGAAGTTATGCTGCTTCTTATTTTCTTAATAGTACCTTCTGTCAGTTCCTTTGTTAAAAAAACCAAAACCAACCAACCAAAAAACCAAACCCAAACCTTTTTAGGGACATTCTGTGTAAGAAATATTCTGGAAGGTACGGCTTTTAGGCCTTTATCTTATTTAATGAAACAATCTTTGAGTCACCTCCCTTAATTTTGTTTTTCCAGGGTATCATGACCTGTTCTTGTTTCATGCTGCTTTTAGGGTGGTTTTTTTTCTTCCCCTCCCTGTTTGCACATATGCTTCTTCTGTCCCCATCTTCTTTGTGCCCAAGTTCTTCTCACTCTGTCAGTGGTATCTCAGGTCCCTGTGCCATGCCTTGATGTGCTGCATCTTTGGCAGTTCGTTCCAGGAATTGGAGTATCTCTAAGCTGATTTATGTAGTTTGTCTCTGGAAAATCTATCAGGTCAGAAACGTCGATCTTTCTTGTTTAATAGTAGGTGCAGTGTATTACTTCTAATAGTGTTGTAACCTTCTAATAGTAGGTGCGGTATATTACTTTCTCCAACCTTGCTTTATATCCTTCCTCATTTTTGTAGCTCCATCAACTGTTGTCTGCAGCTATTTGTGGTTTGCCCAAAAATGCTGAGTCATTAGCAAAAAATGCTATATCTGTGCTTAATAGAATAAACGTCTTTTGGTGGAATTCTTACTGGCTTATAGTATCACATGAAACATTTATACTTGTATTTTGTTGTGTTAAGCATACACTTTGCACGTTAAAAGTAATTAATAAAATACCATGTAATTAATTGAAAGCAAGTGAACGCCGTTTTTCTGTTGAAGAATGTGCAGCTGAGTTAGTAAGGAGTTTGTCTGATTCTCGCCTCTGAAGTCTCAGTCCGAAAGCTTGCTTTATTTGGGGAAAAAGAATTCAGAAAAGTGATAATAAAAGATTGTATTTGAAGCAGTAAAAGATAGCAGCTGCTTAGAGAATACAGTACACTCGGTTGTCTCTCTTTACAGCTCTTCAGCATGCTGGGAAGCACATGGAAGACTGCATTGTGGCCTCGTACACAGCGTTGCTTCTAGGCTGTCTCTGCCAAGAGAGTCCAGTAAGGGAATAAGTCCATAACTTGCTCTTAAGTCCAATACAGTTTTTAGTGAAGTAATAATTTGCAGTATTAAAATGAGTTTATTAAATCAGGGTTCAATGTGAGCTAGTACATTGGTGACGCTACATTGATGTATATAGTTCTGTGGAAGGTTCCCAGAGGTATTCCATCCAAACTAGATTTTCTGGACCATCAGTATGTTTATCAAAACCAGTTGGAATTGAATATTGAACCTCTTCCGCCTCTCTCACCTTTGCTGTTAGTCTTAGCCTGCAAATGAACAACTTTGGGAAAGGCAGAGGAAAATTGGCTCACCGGTTCTATAATTACAAAAGCTTGCTTTATTTTTTGGTAGTTTCAATAAGCAAGTTAACATCAGACTTGTTTATTCTTTTTTATCAGTCTGCTTTATTTCCTCCATTGAAATTACATGAAATTGTATATGTCCATATTAGTTGAAGATGATTGCCTCAGATTGGAAATGCATAATAGAAACCTGAAGTTAAAACTTAAAAGTCTGGAACTCTGATGGCTAAGAACTTCATAAACTGTCCTGTCAAATACATGCCCAAATGAAAATGAGGTTCAGACCTGCCTTCAGCCTTGTCTAAATTTACCATGACGGCAGAGAAGGTCTTTAACATGCCGTTCTGTACCTTTTGACTGATTAGCGTCCGTACAATTTTAGTGTTTGGTGTGACACTGACAAGTTCAATCATTTTCAACCCTTAACAATTACAAAGGAGGATTCTCTCCATGTCAGGAGAGTATCTGGTGGAGTTTTTAGTTCTTGGTAATCTTGTAGGTCCTGGGGAGGTCTGGTGGTGGTAATGGTCTGTAATGAAAAAAAGAAGGTGGGGGGGGACACACAACCACTAAAGATTTTAGCAGGTGTTTCCTAGAAACATAAACACCATAAACATGTGAGTATTGCTTGAGAAACTTAATCATAGAGATGACACCAAAAGCCATCTTAATGCTCTGAATATACTTGTCTTATTGCATCTCACATGCAGAGTAACACAGTCCTATGTCAGAAAAATATTTCCCAAATTAAAATAGATTGTTTTATTTCTTAGATCAATGTGACTACTGTGAGGGAGTACTTACCTGAAGGAGACTTCTCGATAATGACTGAAATGCTCAAAAAATTTCTCAGTTTTATGAATCTTACTGTAAGTAATATATATTTAAAATCGATGTTTGTACATATTTTTGTGTTTTCTGTTAATAGTCCGTACATTTTTAGAAGCATTTAACATTTTTCAGTTGTCTTTAGAAAAGCACAGGATGATTTTCTGTTTTCTTAAATACTGAAGACCCATTTGTCTGTCATTATTTTGGCAGTAAATGGAATGAAGCTACTTTCATTCCATTTGATTGTCACTGGTCAGGAAAATATTTTTGAACACTCTGCCTGAACCTAACTGCTTTTACGCTATGTAACGCTAAATACTAAAATTCTGAAAACAGCATAGCGCTCAAGTATTTTAAAGAGGTATTACAAATGCTTGTTTGTTACTTCTGTTTTCTGTTTTATGTTTTGCAGTGTGCTGTTGGAACAACAGGCCAGAAATCTATCTCTAGGGTGATTGAATACTTGGAACACTGCTAGATACTTAACTTCCGCAGCAGGCGCTCTAATGCTGGAGCTACCCTTAGACAAAAGAAGAAGTCATGAAAGAAGTCCTTGAAGGATATACCAAGAGCATTCATCTGTGTCATTCGTGTTCGGATTTTTAAGGCTACCTGGTCTCTTAACCATGCATTCAGCATTTTCTAAATGACAGTTACTACATCAATCTGCAACTATCAAAAATGAGGGGAAAAAGGTTCTGAGGAAAATAAATAAAGAAACCATGCTGTTTATGATGCAGTGCAGTATTTAAATATTTTTTGGCAGGGCTTACCCTCCCTATCTTTTTTTCTTGCTTTGTTTGTGACAAGTTTCAAGGGGAAAAACTTGCTGCTGATAGTGCAACTGCTGTTTACTGTTGAGCCACTGTTTCATGCCAGCCAGGTGCAAAGGCAGCTTAGCTACTGAGGTATCAAACAAATGTTCTAATAAAGACGTTCTGGACAGCAGCACCGCTCCTATTTGAGTTTAATTTGCTCTTGCTTTTTTATTACTAGATTATTCCAAAATCATAAAATATAAATTTTTAAATACTTTTGTGATTTTAACTACTGTCTATATTTAAAATTTGTTGGAATCCAAAGAGGCGAGGATTGGATAGTTTATTTTTTATACTGTTTTGATTGAAATTAGGTTGTTGAACTATTTCTCAGTTCTAAAACTGTCATGGCCCATGTACTGTAAACTGATAGACCATAACACTTTGTATTTCAAGAAGCATGCAAATTCATAAACACACAAAGCCATTTGAGGGTATGTTATCCACAAAAGAAATAGTAACTGTAAAAAAAAAAAAAAAAAATTGCCCTGTTAGGGGGGAAACAAAAAAAGAGGAGAGAAGGAAAAAAAAAATGATATTCAGTCCCAGGGTAGTTTACACTTCTAATAAGCAAAAACTTTGCAATGCTGTTTTAATTTGTTTCAAGGAAGCACTCAAAATGTATTTTATAATGCTCAATACAAAGAATTTGGATGTTTTAGGGGGGAAGAATTTTAAAGAAGCTAACACACCAACGGGGATTAATGTTTCCAGCTGACATAATCTTTCTATTTCATTCTTCTGTAGTATGACAAAGTTTAAATGCATACAACACAAAGCCTTAAATTGCTGATATAGCTAAGATTTTGTTCAGTCTGAGGTCTAGTTCACAGCAAAGCATTGTGTTTGAAGACTTTAAGTGGAACAAAGAATCCCAGAAAACACATGACTTTTTTTAGGAATTCTTTTCTTGCACTCATTATTCAGACCAACAGAATTGGTAATTATTTTTATTAAGCTGGTCTTGAATATTTGCAGACTGTTTGGAGATCTGCTTCATTGACATTTTTAAATACCTGTATAGGTAGTTACATCATGTTATTCCATTGAATTTGTAAAACTTGAAGCCATAAAAATATTAGTTCTATGTATAATGAGGAGGAAATAACAGGAAATCTAACCTGCTTTTAGATCTTGTGTTATCTCCATGTATAAAGTTAAGAACTCGTGCTTTTGTATCAGTGCCAGCTGTAAATTTTTTACATACAGTGGCTGCCTTCTATGTCTTCCTATTTTTGATAATGCAGATTGTTGGGAATTCTGTAAGGAAGTAACTGATTAGCGGCAAAAATCCTATGTTGGTCATACTCTTTTGCGTTTTCTCTCATCACCTTCTAAAACCTAGTGTATCAGTGTAACTTAGAAAAGTTTTTGAGGTTGTGTTCCCCTTTATTTAAAAAGAAAAAAAAAACAAACCCTCGGTATTGAGAGAGAGAGAGCAGCTGTATGTAAACGGTCTACATCAGGATGAAATTACTGAAGATTCTGTCCCATCAAGTTTTCTGATTTTAGAGATTTTCACTTATAATGGGATTTCAAATTGATTATATAGTTTTCTGTGGAGAGATGGCAAGAGAAAATAAAATCTAGATGTGATGATGGGGGAAAGCAGGGACAATTACCTTTCTTTGTTACACTGGTAATTGTTTGGGAATTGATTTACCTCAGTGTTTAACAGGTTTTTTTAAATGTAACTAATTGTCAAGCACTGACAAATGCAGATTTTTTTTTTTTTGAGGGTGGGGGGAGAAATCACCCTGTGAACTGCAGTGCATTTTTGTGTGTTAGACCCTCAAATAACTCTGCATTAAAGGGTACTTGAGGCCAACTTGCAAATTAAAGTTTTAAAGTAACTTTTTTTCCATTGTAAATATTTGTGTAAATACTCTCAATTGGAAATTAGAACAGTAGAGTACTTTTCTGAATCCAATCCTATTTTTATTTTATACAGTATTTCTCAGCTGTGATCTTTGGAGCAAAAGCCAACGGCAGGAAAAATAGTTTGTACCAGTTTCATGAAGTATGTCTTTGGGTTTTTGTAAATAATTTTAACTCAAATAAAATTGCTACTTTCAATACATATCTTGTCTTTTAACATGAAATAAAACACTCCTCTGAGTGATTGCAGAAAGAAGGCAGTGTCAGGTAAATTGTTAAAAGGGAGGAGGAGGAGAAAAAAAGAAAGATGAGGAGAAAAATAACAGTGGAGTATCCTGAAGGCAGTGCTCCATTTTCCACTGTGGTGTTGGGACAACAAAATTCAGTGCCTGAACCAGAGGCTGTGGTCAGTCAAACCAGCTAAGGCTTGAAATTTTCTGGAGATGATGTACTCCATCTCTTGATGCTCCACACAAGTTGCTATTGATGTTTAGCTGCAGCGGCATGTCACAGCTCTGAAGAGCTGTAGTTAAAATAACAAAAGCATCCTAAAGCATAGATGAAATGGAGCAGTTTCACATCATGGGGGATGTTAATGGCTGCTCTCTTCAGTGAAAAATGAGAAAATTACCATGAGCATTGCTCTGTTTCTCTATTAATATGAATGGTACTTTAACTTCAGGATGGATTTTTTTCCCATGGATTTTTTTTTCCTTAATTGATACAACTAGATACAGGTACAATATGCAATAATTCATGAGTTGTAAAGCAAGTTGAATGTGATGTGTCATCTCTATTGCCACTTCAACAAGTATCAGCATAATGTAGCTTTATTTCTGTGCTGTAAAAGGGTGATACTGGAGTTTGAAATACGGAGCAGTATGTTATTAGTATTTGGCACTGTAGGAGGCAAATACAGCTTTATGTAAGCAAATGTTTTTCCCCAAAAAATCATAACATCCGGTAAAAGTATTTCTTGTTTATTTTGTCAGTAGATATGTAATGAAAGCATTACGTGTGGGTGCTTTGAGATGACCTTGGCATTTTCAGATTAACAGGACAATTGTGAAGCTTCTATAGAAGATTTGGGAGTCAAGGCCTTTCACAGAAGGTATTTCACTGACTGTTTGGAAATGCATGATTTGCATAACAACAAAGTGATCTGGTGGGGTCTGTACAGCACTGATTTATCAGAAGATGAATGTAAAAGCAGGTAGTGGTGCTGCAGATGATTTCTCAAGCTGGCCTAATGGAGTCATGTTTGTGCTGTCAGCAGATTGAGCAGAAGATTGGACGGTGATCACAAAGGTATAAAAGCTTTGTTCTTCCCCCCGAGCCGAGCACCTGTGCCAAGCGTGCAGCTGGAATAGCGCAGTTCTGCTGGGGAGCTGAGTAGGCACTGCATGGCTGCTGCTGGGTGGGCAAGAAGATAGTGGGAATCCTCATACTAATTTGAGGGTGCTACATTTTTAAACTTTTTCTGTAACAGAATATTCTAACAGGAGTTCCTGCTTTTAACCATGTTTTCAAGTACCTCACTGAATTGGTAATGATGTTTTTTGTGTCAGATGCACTAGCGAGTATTCTGTCTTCTCTCATTTTTCCTTTCCAGACATCAATAATTCCTCCTTTGAGTAAGCAGAAGTCAAAGCATACTTACTTAGCTGGGACTATTACCAGGCAAGCCCATACGGCTTTTTCAGTAGAGGGGTTTTTTAATTTGATACTTGCCTTGTTTAGATGGCAAGAAAAACTAAAAATGTGTATTTGAGTTCAAAAGGTAAAGAGGACTTAAGTAGTTGCCATTCTTCCGCATCAAACCCTTATAGGATGGCTCATTAATTGGGTTTTTGAAGATAATGAGATTGGAATTTGCTCTGAATCATGCTAGCCAAGTGTTTTCAAAACCAGGCCAATGTAATTCTCGATACTAATGCTGATGCTTCTCCTCCTCTGTGTAATACGTTGATTCATCATTGGGTAAAGGACACTACTGGATTGTTTTAGCTATGTGGAACAGAAGCCATTCATACATACTCTTTTTTTACCGGCCCTAAAAGTCCCCTGTCTAAGGGACTAATTTATTAAGACGTTTGCAGCATCAGTAGGTGCGGATAGTCTTACTGTAAATAAAAGTGAAACCATTATAAATAATGCAACTGCTTAAGTCCTTATCCAAAGGTAGATTGATTTACTAATGCCACAAGGATCTTTATTCCAACTGTGAAAACTGAACTTAATTTGCAGCTATAGGTTAAGCCTGAGGTTGCCGTGCTTGGTATGGTATGTCTCTGTGACAACAGGCGCTCTGGTGATGCAGAGGGTGTTGTAAGGAGCCCTGGAAAAAGCAAGCCCTCCTTGGGAGGAAAGTGAACTGCACTAGAGACTGCCTTAAATTTGAAAGACAAACATTCACTTTTATCTTTCCCCTCCTGTCTTGCAAACTGTATCTCTAAGTCTCCTAACCCCCAACTTTTGCTACTACACGTTGAACTTCCATCAGCTTAGACCTGTAAAGGCCAAAGAATTGCTTGAGATGTGTGGAAAGCTAGATTGCTAAATAATAAAAATAGTTACTCAGACAGTAGTACCTATCTCTTTTTTATGCCCACTGTGTAGAGTCCAGATTCTCATCTGTCTTAAGTGATCCAAAGTTACTTAGAGGAAGGTTCATTGTTGGATAAATATTAATAGCAGGGTAAAATCAGGTGATATGGAAAAGAGGACTCTCTCTAGAGTAACAGGAATTTTATTTAGATTTACTCTTTAGTGTGGGAATTCTTTGCTTTCTGTATTAGAAGATTTAATTGTGTCTCTGCATTTAATTTTTTAAAAGTGGGGAGGAAGAGTGTTAACATGGAGTTGAGTGGATTAAATGATTATTTTTTTTCCTCTCATCTGTAAAGTTGACCCTGTGATTGTGTCCTAGAACAACAGTTCAGTGTTGGTCAAGTGAGTAATAATAGTTTGTGTGTGTGTGTTGCTCTTTTTTCCTGAACTTCCTAGCTGTTACTTAACCCTTTTAGGAGAATTGAATGTATTCTCACTACTGAAAATAAGGAATGAAGACACTGGAAAGAGGATGGTCTACCAGGAGAAAGAGCTGAGTGAAACGTGCACCAAAGAGTTTGTGTAGATGGGTATTTACCACCTGGATAAATACTTAAAGACCCAAACCAGACTTACTGAACAGGCTCTTAACTTGCATTGTTTTCTCCTTCAAATACACTGGTGTTTAATCAATAGAAAGCAAAACTTGAGAAAAGTTACAAGGGCTACAATTTGAAGGAGATAAAACCCAAACAAATAAAATAATTTTAGTGTTTTTTCCAGCCAGTAATTGACCCAAGAAAACGTATTTAACTAGCCTGCTTGATGGGAGAAGGACTTGTGAATGTGGCTGTGATAGATGGCCTAGTGACAGTTGCTGCTGTTTGGTTTCCTTCCGTATTACAGCATTCTACTTGGTGGAAAGCAAACCTTGAGGAAAAATATGTGGGAATGTATGTGCACACGCTCACACACATGCGTATGTATGTATCTCTAAATATAGTTATTTTGTTTCTCTGCTGTCACCAGTACCTAA